AGAACATATATCATTGTTTTAATCATATTTCGGTTATCAATTAGAGTTTGTGAATATGAATATTATTTCACTATGTGAAATATCTCAAAAATGATACCTCTAGTAGTAACAATATGCATATAAACATATAGTATGACTATGTATATATGTTAACTGGATATTAAATAATTTAAATAAATATATATTAAAGTGTATATATTGACATACATACATATATACTTTCATTCACTGTTTCATCAATATAAAAATATTATGACAATAATTTCAATTTTTATTATCTGTGATTTGCTATATTATTTATCTCCTATAAAATATTCTTTGTCCAAGCAAATATTTTGTCTTTCTTCTGCTTTTGCCTGATTGATAGTTGATTCAAGTGTTTGGGTTCAGTTTAAATCTCAGACCACTATAAAACAGAGTTTAGCAATATTCTTTTTAATCTCAATAATTAAATTATACTCATAATTTTCTATTTAAGAAGCTCTAACTGTTCAAATATATGACATGTTTAAAGAGTAAGGCACTGAATACATAGATGAAATTTATGTATACTTAAAATTATTTTGTGGGTGGTGGGTTTTTTTTCCCATGTCATACTGTTTCATCCTGGACACCAACATTGGCTCTTATTGTGGAAAATGAATCTTTCAGCCTCTGTGGGTAAGATGCTCATCATTAAAAGGCTTAACCAGGAGAACCAATGCCTGCTACATAACTCTTCTCAAATAGAAACTGACTCAGGAACAGGGGGCCAGGAGTTATGGTTACGTCCCATGATGGTGATTGAAGAATGTATTGGGGAAAAGAAGAGGGCAGAGAGTATATTGGGAGGGAAAAGATGAAAGGATGATGGGGGCAGTACTGGTAATGAGAGGTGAACCAAAGCAATTTGTGCTGATATAAAGATGAGATACAACAGAAACAGACTCATAGACCTAGAGAACAGACCTGTAGTTGCCAAGGCAGAAGTGGGGTGGGGGAGGGATGGAGTGGGAGTTTGGGGTTAACAGATGCAAACTAGTATATATAGAATGGGTAAAAAACAAGGTCCTACTGTAGAGCACGGGAACTATATTCAATATCCTGTAATAAACCATAACGGAAAAGAGTATGAAAAAGAATATACATATGTGTAACTGAATCACTTTGCTGTACAGCAGAAATTAACACAGCATTGTAGATCAACTATAATTTAAATAAATAAATAGATGACTAATAATGCACAGAATTGTAAACAAAAAGAAAAAAGGTGGAGTGCAAAAGTAGCCTTATAGAAGGCATTATGAAAATGAGAATGAGTTAAGAATAAGAAACTTAGAATAAGGAACTTTTTTTTTTTTTTTTTTTTTTGCGGTACACAGGCCTCTCACTGCTGTGGCCTCTCCCGTTGCGGAGCACAGGCTCCGGACACGCAGGCTCAGCGGCCGTGGCTCACGGGCCCAGCCGCTCCGCGGCATGTGGGATCTTCCCGGACCTGGGCACGAACCCGTGTCCCCTGCATCGGCAGGCGGACCCTCAACCACTGCACCACCAGGGAAGCCCAGAATAAGGAACTTTTATCGGAGTCACTGTGTAGTGTGATCAGAGGTGTAGAGTGCCACTCACAGTCAAAACAGTGCAGGGCCTTCCCTGGTGGCGCAGTGGTTGGGAGTCCGCCTGCCGATGCAGGGCACACGGGTTCGTGCCCAGGTCCGGGAGGATCCCACATGCCGCGGAGCGGCTGGGCCCGTGAGCCATGGCCGCTGAGCCTGCCGCGTCCGGAGCCTGTGCTCCGCAACGGGAGAGGCCACAGCGGTGAGAGGCCCGCATAACGCAAAAAAAAAAAAAAACAGTGCGGAGGGTATTTCTAAAAGTGCTCATCTGTCCACCTGCATCAGGATTTCCTGAGATGCTTGTTACGAAGACTACAACCTACTACGGCAGAATCTCTTGGTGTTGCCAGGGCACCTGCAGTCTTTATTAAAACTACCCAGGCCCTGACCTCATCCTCGAGTGGATCTTATGCCTATTAAAATTTGAGCACCACTGAACTAGGGTGTAAGGAAAGAAGATGTAAGAAATAAATCTTGGCAGTGTATTTCCTCCAATGGAGAGGAGACTCGGGGAATTTGCAGAGTAGGAAATATGTATAAAAAATTAATGAAAATAGATAATTGTCAGGAATAAAGTAACACTGAACTGCCAGGGAGTCAAAAAGAGGGCATAGGAGTGAACATGTGAGAGGCCAGGAATGACACACTCAGAAAGAGGACAGATCTGTGGAGAGAAGGAGGGAAGACCACACTGGCCTTGAGAGCTCTAGCTTTCCCAGAGCTAAGCCATGGGAGGCCTATCCATCCCCATAAGATGAAACCAGAAAGCAAATTATAATAACAGAAGAGCAGATCAGTGAAAAGGGACCCACAGAGCAGCCCTCACAGGCTGCTTTCTGTGTCTAGTCCTTAGTAAGTCCTATTCTCAGCTGTAAAAAGTGCTGGGTATTAAATATCATCCCCACCCTGGTGACACATCAATATCTTTATTCATTTATTTTTTATTGAAGTATAATTAATTTACAATGCTGTGTTAGTTTCAGGTGTACAGCAAAGTGATCCAGTTACACACACACACACACACACACACACACACACACACACACATTTTTTTTCATATTCTTTTGCCTTGTAGGTTATTACAAAATACTGAGTATAGTTCCCTGTGCTATACAGTAGGTCCTTGTTGATTATCTATTTTGTATATAGTAGTGTGTATATGTCAGTATCTTTAGATAATCATTTTCTTTGCGGAAATAACATGGAGTTGTTTGATTTACTAAAGACTGCAGTGGATTGAATTTTGTATCCAGTCTGAGTACAGATGATTAGGGGGACATCCCAGTTCATGATTTTTGTTAAAGGCTTCAGCACAGTCCCACAGGAGATCAGAGGAGCCAGGAAGAGACAGAGATAATTGGCCTGGACTATTGTTTTCTTTCTCCTCCTCGCCATTGTTACTTGTAATCTGCTTCAGTTTGCATTAAAATAAGTGGTATGTTTTATTTTTAAGCTCCTGCTTCTGAAATTTAAAAAAATCTACAAGTACAGAATTGAGTGAGTTCTCATCAGTGTCACAGGATAGCAATGTGTTTCTTAGCTTTTAGACACTTGTATCCCTCATTCATCAACTTCTTGTCCTATCTTCTGAATAGTCCAAGCACCAAGGTCATTTTTAAAAATAATTGTGAAAAAATAAATTAAATAATAGAAATATTTATTATATTGTCTCCCTGAAGAAACCGATACTTTGCCCTGAAAATCATTAGTGTCAAGGCAAGGGGAGAGTGCTTTCTAGATGTTAATGTGTCTTATTGGATGCTAATATTTCAAAATAAGAAATGGAATTATGGGAATGTTAATAATTTAGCTGGTAAATGTAAAGAAAATATTCAGTAAATACTCATCACAGGTTGTGAGGTGAAGCCCAGCAAAGAGCTCATGTGCCCACGGTTCAGAAAGCCAAACTCTTGAGAGCAAAGTGAAGATTTATTGCAGGGCACCAAGCAAGGGAGGAGGAGGCAAGCCTCAGGTCCACTCCGACTTGGTCTTTGAGTTGGAGATTTTTTTAGAGGGGAAAAAAAAAGGGGGTCGGGATTAATCATCCTCTTGTGATAGTCCTTAATCTTTAATCATAGTTTTGGGAGTCAGGATAACTGGTTTATGATTCTCAGACCAGGTGGCCATGGCTTGGGGTCCTGTTAGCTCATCCTGCCCTGGAGAAACAACCTGAGTTTGTAAGTTAATGATGAAATCGACAACAGCAATTTTAGTCATCTGACTGGTCAACGAGCACAAGATTGAGGTCAGAGGAGACAAGAAAGGGAATAAGGTTTTGGATAGAGACATTAATCATAAATTATAATTGATTAATAATTAATCATAATTAATCATAAACAAAGTTCTCGGTAAGGGAACTTTGTTTTGGGGGGACTTGGTTTCAGAGATACTGTGAAAAAAGCATTGATGATTGGATGTAAAGGGATATGACCAAGTGTTGCACCCACTCTGTAAATGCACCATCCATAGCCACTCTCTTCTTTTTCTTTGGCTGATGTTTTGCTGTTTTACTTCTTTCCCTGATGGAATGCCTCCTTTGTTTTTCCTAATAAAACTGGCCAAAGACTCCTCCATTCCACGGAATTCTTACATCTGTAACATGCTTGACCAACTCCTAAATGATAACTATAAAAGTCAGTCATTCTTTCATTTGTAATCAATTTTAGGTATTTTTTACAAGTCAAATGAGAAACCACAAGGGGAACAAAAAAAGGTGATGAAAAAGATAGCATAATGGAATTTTTATGCCGTCATGTCCCTTTTCTATCCAATAAAATTCTCCATATGCCCACTTGGCATTAATTTATATTCTCCCCATTTCTCAACTATTAAAATGTATGCCCCCTGCCCTAAGTATCATGGGGAAAAATATACACAGTAATTATTAAATGCTTGCTCTGTGTCAGGCATTTCACATGAATGATGACCAACCTTACCTGCCTCTTAGAACTGTTTGCATAATTATTCCCACTTTCCTGATGAGGAAGCTAAAGGCCGCCTAAGATCACCCAGATAGTAAGTGGTAGAGCCGGGATCTATATTCATATTGGCCTAAATATAAAGGCTTATACTTTTTTCTCTGTACTGTGTGACCTCAAGTTCACTAATAATTATTAATAATATTAATACTAATTTGTTTTGAATACTAATACGTGACATATGTAATCATGAAGAATCTTCCTAGTGATTGAGCGAGGACTGGATTTATTTCAACTAGTCTTACAAAATATCTTGGTCATTTGACTTTAAACACTCTTCGGATATCATAAAAATCTCTTAGAATAGTTCTTATCTGTTCAATAGGAAGTAATGCTATTTGGAGTTCTGTTTGTCGTTCGCCATCTGGTACTAAGTGCCGAAAAGTCTTTCTGCTCGTTGTGTAACTTGCCTTTATCTTTGTTGTTGCAGTACTGGATACCAGTTTATTTACTATTCACCTGAAAACACAGCCAAAGCAAAAGAAGTTCTCAGCAACATCAATCAACTACAACCTCTTATAGCAACCCATGCAGACCTACTGCTTAATTCTGCAAGCCAGCATTCTCCAGACAGCTTGAAGAATTCTTTAAAGATGCTTTCAGAAAAAGTAAGACCCAAATCATCACTGCAGTGGGGAAAATGAAATACCCAAATCCCCGTTGGTACTGCTTTCTGCATACATTGCCTTTCATAACATCTGGAAATGTAAAATAGACTAGGTTAAAAAGTAAGCTTCAAAGTATTGCCACAGGATCAAAATGAATTGGCCACATTCTCTTTTCAAATTTTACTGAACGTTAATTTTTTTTTCCTAGTAGGAAACGAAACCTATTACTGGTTGAGGTATATTTTCTCTTTTCCTTGACATCTTTCATTCTCTTTGGTTCCTGGTTGTATTAAATGAATTAAATTAGATTTTGAAAATTATTTTCTCTGGTGATCACCAAATTTGTATGCATATGAAGCTATACCTTTGAGTCAGAATGTCACTTCATTTGAGAGCAGAACCTTGATGTGGATTCTTATCGGTGACATGGGGTAATTCCTCTGCCTCAGTTTACTTTCTGTAACATTATCAACTGGGAGAAGGTTCTAAAAATTTCTAAAGTATTAGTCATTGCTTGAAATGTAGTAGGACCTAGGTCTTAATTTTTCCAAAGGTGATTTTACATTTGTATATGTAAAGAGGAATGGTAGTCTGGCATGGGGTAAGCACTCAGCATCAATTTCCATAATGAATTAAGGTATCTGAATGATATGGAGAACCAAGGTAGCAAAAGTCAAATTGCAGCTTGAATAGAAATGCAAAGTCAAGTATCCTGGAGTCCAATTCCAGTACACTCATTCGTAACCTCTGCATTCTGAGGACATCTTGAAATTTATTATGAGATACTTCCAATGAATATGCCCTTGAAGAAACTGACCAAAGACAATTTTTACGGTAACATTTTAGAATAAGATAACAGTGTAGTTCTTTGAGTCCCTGAAGAACAGATTCATAGAAACCTGAATACTATATCTGTGTATATTTTTGACTCAGATATGTTCATTTATAATAATAATAATACCTTGCCCTTATTTAACATTTTAAAGTCTACATTTTCACATATTTTTCTCATAGGATATAGCCAGTATATATTTTCAGAAAAAATTAGCTAATATGTATTCAGAAAGGTCAAGTGAATTGTCTAATAAATTAAAAAGTGAAAAATGCAAGACTTCCAGTTCAAAATGCAACCTTCCTTCCATGCCAGAACAGGTATCTCCATCAAGAAAAGGGAGGAAAAAATTGACCCAAATTTTACAACTACCTACGTTGTCAAATATTTTGCTAGTGACTTCAGGGACTTAGGTTATTTCATTTAACCTTCAGACTGTGGGTCCATGTTATCTCCATTTCACAAAGCAAAAGATTGAAGCTCAGAGAAGTTTAAAAAATGTGCAAAGTCATGCACCTAAATTCATACCCAAGGATTCAAACAAAACTAGGGCTCAGACCCAGATCTGGTTGACTTCAGAATGGAAACCCTTTCTGGTATCCTCCATGCAATATATGTTTTGATATTTCCTTTTTAAGAATTAAAAAAAAAAATTGTTAGACAAACTTCTCAACAATACTTAAGTATTCTAATCGTCAATGAATATGTCTAATAGTCAATGAACATGTTATGGCTAAGAAAAAGAGGAGGGTGTCGCATACAGTAAAATAATAGAATTTCTTTTTGGTTCATTTCTTTTTTTGGATTTGTAGGTGAGGTGAGGTTTTCCTGGGTTCACCTAAACAGAAAATTCTAGCAAATAGAACATCACTGTGGTGATTTCAGAGCAGTATTTATATTCTTCCTGTGCATTGGACAGGGATTTGTGATTTGGGGGCATGGCAGGGCATGTATTTTCTCCTCCTTTAATTCAGCATTGCTCCAACTTTTTTCCCTGTTTTTTTGTTTGTTTGTTTGTTACTGAGTAGACAAGCTTCGTCTACTAAGAAATCTGTCAACACTTGAGATCACGAGGATTTTTTAAAGTTAAATTTGCAAGCCATGCATTTCTTTAAGAATTCATGCCCAGAATTTTAAAGAAGTATCTAAGTTAACAGAGTTTTGCATAGTGTATGAAGACAGTTACTAGTTCGTGGTTTAAAATAAACTATGATCCATGAATCTAGCATAAAAGATAAATCATTTTAGTGGCATCTTAAATTTTACTGTAATTTAATATTAGCAAGATTTAACTTAAAATCTTGTTTTTAAGTTATGTTTTAAGTCATGTTTAAGACCAGGGACTTGCACACTGTGGATTAGAGAATAGGTCTTTTCTTCATTGATAGTCCCCTTGTTTCTTTTAATGAATCTGAACTGACATGTTTGGAAAATAAGTTCTTGAGTTGTTTTCTTAGGAACTCATCCATAGGACATAACTGAAATTTCACAATAAAATTTACTATAAATTTTTCATATCCTAATGTGCACAACCTCAATTAAGTTGTTCTATTTTTTTAAAAAATAGTTCTTAAAACAAGAATCTTCTGAAGGATAACTGGATTTGTTTGCTGCATATGTTTATGAAAATATTAAAGAATTATTTAATGTTATGATGTATAGGTTTATAGCAAAAGACAAATCCGATTTTACATAACTAATCCCAACAGAGAAAACAAAGCATAAGCCAAATTTTTAACATAAGATATGAAAAGTTAATAATAGAGTGGGATAAAAAAATGCATTTTCCTTTTTTCTAGGCTAAAATTATACAATACTGTGACAAAAAAAAAGGAGAGAGAGAGAAAGAGAAAAGTAATGTAAAGAAATTCAAAATGAAAACGTAAGGACACAAATGTAGGCATGTATCTCATTACTCAGATATATGGGTGACATTAGTTTCAAATGCCCATCATAGTCTCCACTCCATAGAGATTGATAGACCTTGTTTAGAAAGTCATTATTATTATGCTCATCACAAAGCAGTATTGAGCACCTAACTGTGTGTGGTATTGTACTCAATGCTGTATGACAAATACTACACAGTGTTAATTTTACAGTCTAAGAAATTAAAAGCATGGACTATTTCACAACACAGCGACTGTGAAATGGTAAACAACAACAAAAAAGGATTTGGTCACAAATATTAGAGGCTTTGCTCACAATATATTTGAGAAAACCCAACACCTTCCAATTCCTAGTATCTTTTCAACCTTAATATAGTATACCAAAGCATTCTGCTGTATTCAAAGAAAGAACCAAGCATTCCATTCTAAAATTTAACTCAGGATTTTCTTAAGAAATGTTCTGTTTTCCTTAATAATAATGCCAGAAAGTCAGTATGCTAAGATGTTGAAGATATATATTATATACAGAACATTGATTATGTTGATTACTTAGGTACTGAGAAGGAATTTCTTATTGTTTATTCACCTCCACTACTCTCTCTCAATCCCAAATTGAGTAGAAGAATTCAGTGAGTTTTCGTTTGTTTTTTATAGCTGGTGAAAGTATATGTCTGCATATACCCACATACATACATACTAAATTCTAAGGGAGCTTGAAAGTAACTAGTGTAAATGAAGGTGAAATTTCAGGATTAGAACTTACGTTTCTTCTTTTCATAGTCTCCCTCATATGGTAAATATTTAATTGGTGAAATAAGTACTGTTATATAAAAACAAAACTGTGTTTATTAGAATATTAAAAACAAGGGAAATAAAGGTAAGAAAGTAAAATAATATTAAGAATGATACTTATACATAAAATACATGGAATTAGAACTTCTGTTTCTGGCCATGGTAGGGTAATATGGATCCTCTCAAATGACAAAAAGACAGCTGGACAAAATGTATAAAATAATGGTTTTTAGGCATTGGAAAACAGGCAGCATAGGAAGATGACAAACTATGTGACCTTATAATTGCCTAGTTTCTTCCTGGAGGCAGTTTCCAGGCTGAAGCACAAGGAGGGAGAAGCCAAACAGCAACTTCTCAAGTTGAGGAGACAGAAAGTGGAGTTCTGGGAAAGCCAAGATAGCTAAAATTTGCAGAGCAGAGTACCAAAAAGGAGGGAGCTGCATACAGAAAGAGCCTTGGACTTTAAGGGCTATAAATGGGTGCTTTAAAATCTTTACCTGAGTACTGATTTGCACACGCATGTGAATAAACTATCAAAATCCAGGGAAATAAGTACAAGAAATAAGCATACAAAATAAGTCCTGGTGGTCATACAGGACTCGGAATGGTTTATCTCCTGACCAGCAGAGTGAGAAGACTTTGTCACACATAGAGCACTGCATAGAGCCCTCAGAAGGGCAAGGCCCTAGTAGTGGGGCTAACTTAGTCCTAGACTAAAGGCTGCTCTTGATTCACTCTAACAAGGCTTAAAAATAAGGTTCGATATGATCTTACTGAGTCCTTCTGGTGTGAAGTAACTTAACTTCATACCAAAACAAAACCCAACATTTTTTAAAGGAATACAATAAAATATAGCAACAAGAATGTAAACTCAAAATGCCCCCGGCATTCAACAAGCATATACCAAGCATGCAAAGAAGCAGGAAAATATAACCTGTAACTAGAAGAAAAATTAAGCAATAGAAACAGACCCAGAAATGACAGAGATGATGCAGTTAGTAGATAAGAACCTTAACATGGCACTTATAAATATGCTCACATACTTATGAAAGCAAAGAAATGTATAAAAAGGATGAGGAGAAAAAAAGGAAAATTAAAAAAAGAATCATATAGAACTCAAAGAAAAGCGAAATATAATTTCTGAAATAAAAATATGCACTGGGTGGAATTAGCAGATTGGTCACTTCAGAAGAATAGATAGTGAACTTGCAAACATAGTATTAGAAAATATTAAATGAAGCACAAAGAGAAAAATAACTGAAAATGATAAAACAGAGCATGAATGACTTACAGAACAATACCAAGATATCTAACATACATATAATTAGAGTCCTAGAATAAAAGAAGAGGGGGATAGAAAAATATTTGCAGAAATGATGACCAAAATTTTCAAAATTTGATGAAATAATGAAACTACAGATCCAAGAAGCAAAATGTACTCCAGCAGAGTAAATATTAAAAAAAGAAAGAAACACAGGTATTAAATTGCT